ACATTTAATTGTTGCAACACGTTTCAGCCTTATAAGGCCATCATCAGGCAACTATTAAATGACTGAAATTGCCACACTACATCTGCTCATGTCAAAATATTTACATGCTATTACTGCATGTTGTCGTCATTTAAAAACGTCTGCCCACACTTCACTCACCCTATTTCTATATTGTGGCATCCACGCTGTGTTATTTTTGTGCGCAGTTCACCTTAGTCGTGCATGTATCCCTTGTATTGATCAATACAAGGGATACATGCCCAACTAAAGTAAACAACAACATGCAGTAACAGCAAGTAAATATATGGGCATGTGAGCTCAGTCAGCCTGAGGGTGGCCTTATAGTGTCAAAACAAGTTGCAACAATTAAATAAAATGTGATTTTAATGACATTTTATGAATTTAAATGTGACTGTAAATCACATTTTTAAAATAAAGCTTTGTGTTTCATTAAAAATGGAAGCAAGTAAACGAGTGATGTATCAATGCAACAGGATGCTGAAATATAATATTACCACCACAATTGGGTATGGAGTGCGCCCCCCCCCCACAAAGAACAAACCCCAACCTGCCCACTGCCCCTGTCTAGACTCATCTCCCTTCTAAGACAAGACCTACCTTCCCATCCTTTCAATAATGATGATACCCCTACCATTCAATTTATAACATAGAACTTAAGCAACACATACCTACTTAGCACTTGGATGAATGACATTAGATAATAATGGCATTTTTATGCACAGACCCTAAAAGGGCCATCTGCACAAATCTCCTGGTCCACTACACACTTTGACTTTTAACCCTTTCCAGCAGTATGTCAATATATAATCAACATGGTGACAGTGCTTCCACAGATGAATGTAAATAAACTTTCTTTCGCATTTCTCCAGTCATACTTGTATGTGGGTCATTTGTTGGTACTGGCCACTGTATACTGTGCCATTGCATTCATGAATGGTTTGTCTGTCTTCTTCTGCCATCTGGAAGTCATAATTTCAACAAATGCCATTTATACGAGGGGAAGTCAATAATTATCCGCAATGCAGTTGTATTTGTGTTTCTGGTGGCAGCACTGTCATTTTGCGCAGCATCACCATGCGTGGTTTCCTTTTCATTATTTCTGCCCAGGTTTGTTGCTGTTAGGTCAGTTCCATTATCGCTGCCTTGCCGTTAATCATGGCTGCTCCGCTTTCTGTTTGCACCAAAGAAGAGCAACGTTCAGTGATCCGGTTTTTGTGGTTGGAAAGTGTATTAGGGGCCGCAATCCATCAAAGACTTTCAGCACAATACCGGAACAGTGTTTTGCCGCAATGGAGTGTCTACGAATGGATTGAAAATTTCAAAACTGGTCATAAAAGTGTTACGCATGAGGAAGGAGCCGGACGACCATCCACGGCCACAAATGAGGACAACATTGAGCATTCAGGTGACATGGTTCTGTTAGACAGACAAGTGACTATTGATGAAGAGGCAAATCGTCTGCAAATTAGCCATGGTTCTGCCTACGAAATCAGCCACAACAGACTTGGGTTTCATAAAGTCTCTGCAAGATAGGTCCCAAAACAACTCACAGTGTTGCATAAACAAACGTGCTTGGACATCTGCCAACAACATTTGGATTGCTATGGTAACGAACGTGACGTCTTCTTAGACAGAATAATCACTGGTGACGAAACATGGATCCATCATTGTGAGCCGGAGAGTAAACGGCAGAGTATGGAATGGAAACATCCACAATTGCCCAGCAAGAAAAAGTTCAAAAGCCAACCAACCACAGGAAAACTGATGCTTACTGTTTTTTGGGACTCACAACGCCCAGTACTGGAACATTATCAGGAGAGGGGCACAACAATGAACAGTGCTCATTACAGTGAGATGCTTACTGAAAGGCTAAAACCTGCAATTTGAAGCAAATGCCAAGGACTACTGTCGAAAGGTGTTGTGTTGTTGCACGACAATGCCTGTCCACATACTGCTGCCCATACTATTGAAACCCTACAGAAACTCAAGTTGATGTAATGGCTCATCCTCCGTATAGTCCTGATCTCGCCCCTTCTGACTGCCACTTGTTTGGTCCACTCAAAGAGGCATTAAGGGGCCATCGAATCACCTCGGACCAAGAAGTGAAGGAAGCGGTGCATGCGTGGCTCGCTGCTCAGCCGAAAACCTTCTTTTCTGAGGGCATCAAGAAGCTTGTACAACGATGGATCAAGTGCGTTGAAAAGCAAGAGGACTATGTTGAAAAATGATGTTAATGTAAGTTTCCTATATGCATTGAAATAAAATTTATAGCTACATTGCGGATAATTATTGACTTACCTACGTATATTATGGCATGTCACATGGCATGGTATCACGTTCCAGCAAACCTGGCCCCTCTGGCTTCAAAAAACAAAAATTTAATCCCTTGTATGATGGAGATGAGGAAGCTATTTGTGTTATGGTAAATGAAGAATGTAATATTCATTCTGATGATGACATGGATTTGGAAATTGAAAGAGAAACTGCAAGTGAATAATCAAGCAATAAAGTCAGAAAGTGAGTGAATCAATTGGCGTGAGTGTTGATGTGTGGAAAGAAGTGAAAATGGGAAACAACAAACCCATGGGATTCACATTTATTAAGAATGTAGGCGCACAATTTAACCTTCTGCCAGCTGCATGGCCCATGGATTTTAGTTCATTTTTCGATGAGCTAATGAATTACACTATTACAGAAACAAACAGATACATGAGAGACAAAACTGCAGAACTTCAGCTAAGCACAAGGTCCATTTTGAATAGGTGGTGTGATGTCTGTTCCCGAAATGAAGGTGAGCTCTTGCTGAAAATATGAAAATCTAGTAGGCGGTGTGCACAACCCAAGAAAGAGGTCACATCTGGGAACAGCAGAGAGAGAGAGAGAGAGAGAGAGAGAAGAGGCTAAATAAAGTGCCTCACTTCCTTTACCATTATGACATGAAGAAATGCAAATTGCATCATGTACAGCAATTGGAAGATCAAGTTAGCCAGAAAAGAAACATATTTATATTGTAGGACCTGTATAAATCAACTGGCCATGTGCCCTGGGAATAAGATATCACACTCTAAAGAACTTCAGAAGGTTTCAGTATAGGTCCCATAGCTTCTTGGGTTTTGTTGTTTGTGCGCACAGATGAGTAAGTGACATTTATAAGAGAAGGGAATATGCATATGCTTTGTAACAGAGAACTGTAAAGCACCACTACCTCTCTCAACAAAACTGATGTCATACACCCTACAAATAAGAGAATTTGTCTTCTTGTATTACACCCATAAGCACAATTTTTGCTTTCTTCACTTTATGCCTTTATTGCATCAAATTTTTGGGCACAGCAGTTCACTTGTTGGTTCTGGAGGCATTTAAATTCCTTCACATCCTGGCTGCAGAAATTTCTAATCATGTGACGCCTGTAAAGGATTAAGATGGAGGCAGTGCATGTTCTCTGAAACACTGGCAACATCACCCACATCCTCACAGCACTCACAGCCCAAGAACAGAATTAACCTTTAAATTCAGGATTTTTGAAATGGTGGTAGCTTGAGCTGGCCAGAGTTCATTTAAATGTCCGTTCCTGTTAGGATGCTTACATTGTATTTAAAAATACTGTATCTAATACAATTTTTTATGATAAATGAATGGAATTAACTATGTTTCTATCAGCAAAGAACATAGTGTCACATATTACAACATATAAGATTTGAAAATGTTCAGACAAAAAAGTTATACTCTATTTTTTTTAATTTTGAAGCATACTGTAAAAATTGTTTCCCACTTGTAACACTTGAAATATTTTCTCTTTTCTGGTGCCATAAAGCAGTTAGAAGCAATAGAATCATTTGGTTCTCTGCTGGCAAGTTTCACATCCTTGTTACCCTCTTCAGATATTCAAGTCTTTTGACTAAAGGACAGAAAAGTGAAAGCATGGCAGTTCAAGTAAGGTTACAGGGAATATTCTTTGTTCCCTTCCATTGCATCTGCAAGAGAATAATGCCCTTCCTAAAATTGCAAACAAACACTTGCACCGTAGCTGAGATACAGAGCATAAGTTCATGGTGAATTTGAATATTGTATTTTCATTTCATGGCAATGGCAATTAAACATTGTTTCAAAATTGAAAGGCAGCTGAACTGCAAGATATGTGACATGGGACTGTGCATTTTTGGGTGCTTCAAGAAGTACCATACAAAGGTGAGATTAAATTACATGACTTGGGGGGGGGGGGGAAGCTTGTATGCAAGCAATCTAACAAAAGAAAGGTATGCACTTTAACTTTTACTCTATTTAAAACATATTTAGGATTGTGCACACACTTCTATTAGTGGCATGTGCACGTGCTTCCACTAGCAGTGTTTAAATGCCTGGCTGCACAGATCGGGGTACTTTGGCTATGATGACCATATTCATCAGTGTACCAATAAGTGCATTTCAGATGTTAAAGGTTAACATCAGTTATGACGTGACCACAAATATAAAGGAGGAAGGGTGGAAAAACTCAGATTCACCAAATGAATATAACAGAAACAGATTACTGTTCAAAGTGATATTTTGAAGAGGAAAAAAATGAATTGCAAAGGACAGCAGGATGATTTTGAAGGCAATTCCAGCAATGACAGTAATCTGTCCACTTCTGGCCCAAGAGAGGATGAAGGCACTGACAATGATGTTTCAAGTATAAAACAAACTGAGTTATTTTTGTATTATAAAAATCTGAAAAAAAAAAAATTGGTTTTTCATTATTGTATAAAAATTCAGTATAGGAATTTCAGTTACAATACATAACACAAAGCATTGTGTCACTAAGTGTACTGCCAATGATAAGAATTTCCCCTCTCCTTATTGCCTAGCTAGGGCACTTGCAGTGCTCTGCATTTCCTCTTACTAATTATAAGGTCAACACAGACAGGTAATATATTCAAGAATAAATGTTCCATGCCGCTGCTGTCTTAGTAACTATGGCTACACATATATGGAATTCTTACTTCTCTGCATGGGAAAAGTCTGTAGAAGAGGAACGTTTTGCAAGGCTTCCTGTAGCCAGTGACAATTGCTCCAAGATCAAGAGGTTTCCCTTCTGGGTATGCTATGGTGATGTCCAGCACCCAGTTCACATGAGCTGGATACACACCCACACCTGTACATATCAGTAAAGTACTACATGATGTAAAGGAACAAACAAGGTCACTAGCTTATCATGTACGTACATGCAACTTTTGATAATACAAAGTCAAACAGCATTTCACACAATAACATTAGATAAAGTGAGTATCATGAATGGTTGAACTGCTGTTGGCCTTCTGAATTCTATATCCTTAGCTTCTGACCTAAGACAAACTGGTAAGTAATGGCACTTGTAAAAGAACACCCCGACAAAGGGAGTGATAAGCACCTTCTGCATCTAAATTCAAAGTGACTACTTGAACTAATTTCAATCACACAAATGTTCTCTATATTAAAACATGTCCAAATTCCACATAAATCATACCATCAAAGTTCACTGTGGAATCTCCATTGTTGTTGCCTCCAAGATTGCTATTTTTTTCTGGACCAACACTGTCTACAATAGTCTGAAGTGCACCCACTCTTGGCAGAGACACATGCTGTAATACTGGTAAATTGTTCCTCAGTGCAAACCTATGCAAGAACAAGCAATTTACTATACATGGTCTTATGGAATACAGTTGGTAATAAGAAATGTTCTCAAAGTAACTAAAATAGAAAAGATCTTGAAGGAAAGTTAGGGGATGCACATAAAATATGATTTTAAACATAGTTTTATTCATCTCCTGTAAATGCACACAGTTACCTGCACTTTCAGCTAATCCAAACAAATCATAAAATTAATGAGTTTTTCAAACAGTTCTATAATATTAACCCCAAAGAAACTCTTCCGCCTTTGTTCTAGAAACATTGCAAATTATCTGTTACACCGTAAGATGCACATGGATTCATAACCTGTTACAGGGTGGTTTAAATATAACTGGGACTGATTTTTTTTTTAAATATAATTGCCAAACACTTATTTGCACATGACAGTCTTCAACGTACTCCATTCGGGAGTCAACACATTTTTTCCAACGTTCTGGAAGCATCGTGATGACCTTTCTAAAAAGGCTTGTGGTTGGGGGTGTATCCACTCCCAAAAAGTCTGGATGATGGCGTCGTCCACAAACTGCATGCCATGCAAGTCTGATTTGATCCTTCCGAACAGGTAGAAATCACTTGGGGCCAAATCGAGACTGTACGGCGGATGTGTCAGAAGGTTCCATTTCAATTTCCAGAGGGTTTCCATTGTTGTTTTGGCTGTATGGGGGCGTGCATTGTCTTCAAGGAAGGCTATCTGCGTTCCACCTGTCTTCCACTTGGATTGGATCTTTTCCTTCATGCCTGTTGCCAGGAGGTCTGAGTAATAAGCTGCATTGTCTGTTCTGTCATCTGTCAGAAAGTCTACATGGATAACCCCCTGCCAGTCCCACAAGAATGTTGCCATCACTTTTCCTGCCGAATGGCTCCTCCACGTTCACTTGGGTTTGGGAGAACTGGTATGCCGCCACTCGTGTGATGACTGCTGGGACTCGGGAATGAATAGTGCACCCACGTTTCATCGGTGGTCACTATAGACTTCAAAAATGCATCACCTTCGTCTTCAAACTGCTGTAGGAGATGACTGGCAGCTTGCATGCACACCATTTTGTTCACGTCCATCAAAGTGCGTGGCACCCACCGTGCATTCACCTTGCGATATTGCAGGCAGTATTTTATGATGTCTTCTACACTACCAACACTGATGGAGAGCACTGCTCCAAGTTCCTTGATAGTGATGCACCTACTCTCATTAATAAGCACGATCAATGTTTGGCTCAGTGACGGATGTTTGCGGCTGATGATCATGTGGTTCATTCTCCACGCACTGTCTGCCCTCTCTGAAGCACTTACACCATTGAAACACATGAGAGACAATCTTCTCCATACTGTTGTTGGAGCCTGTGGTGAATTTCAGTGGACAGGACGTTTTCTCCGAGGAATTTGATCACAATGTGTTGTTCCACGCTCCGCAGTACCTTCTGTTTTCTCATAACTCTAGCAACTCCCAGACAGGACTGAACAGGTTCTAACCCAAACAGGAGAGAGGGTGGAGGTTGTGGCTTCACTCTCTCAAGGTTGCACAGCTGCTGCGTGGTGGGGCTTGTTTACACACAAATCAGTCCCAGTCATATTTGAACCATCTTGTATTTTCATTTTGTAAAAGAATAGGAAAAAGTCAAGTAAATAAAAGACTAACATAATAATCATGCCAGATTTTGTTCAATGTCGTTGTCATCATCACCACCATCCTCTTCTTCATAATCACCACCATCATCACTGGCAAAACAGTCCTTTTTGTGCCATCTTACTTATTTACGAGGGTCGTACTGAAAGTCATGAGCAACAACTTTTTGTAAAATAACATGCTTTATTACTGACAAACCAAATACACCACCTCAATCTACAGACATTTCTTTATTTTTCCACATAATCACCACTTCTTTGTACGCATTTCTCCCAGCGTTCTGGGAGTTTGAAAATTCCCCTTCTGTAAAATTCTATTCCAGCCATCTGAAGACACTGAGGCACTGCTTTCTGAATTGCCTCCCTTATCTCAAAACGTTGTCCACGCAGCTGATCCTTCACAAATCCAAAAAGATGGTAGTCGGAGGGTGCCAGATCAGGGCTATAGGAGGGGTGTGAAAGAACTTCCAACCCCATCTTTGCAATTGCTTCCAATGTAACCTTTGTGGTCTTCAGTCAATAACCAGGGGATCCAATGAGCACAAACTTTCCTATAGCCCAAGCTTTCAATCATCTCCTGTACTGCACTGTGCTCTATTCCAAATTTTCGGGCTATTGTGTCCACAGTCACACGCCTGTCATCTTGATTGATCTCATCCACTCTTTCCTTGTTGCGTTCAGTTGAGGCTGTTTGAGGGCGACCGCGCCGAGGGTCATCTTCGATGCTGGTGTTCTCATCGTCATCTTCGATGCTGGTGTTCTCATCTTTAAAATGTTTCACCCATCTTCAAACATTGCTCACACCCATGCACACACTTCCATAAGCATGCTGAATTTAGAAAGCAGTGTGCCAGTGTCTTCAGATGGCTGGAACGGAATTTTACAGAAGGGGAATTTTCAAACTCCCAGAACGCTGGGAGAAATGTGTACAAATAAGTGTTGATTATGTGGAAAAATAAAGACAGGTCTGTCAATTGAGGTGGTGTATTTGGTTTGTCAATAATAAAGCATGTTACTCTACAAAAAATTGTTGCTCATGACTTTCAGTACGACCTACGTACTTACTTACATACGGAATTGAGCCCTTCTTGAGGAGAAGCCAAATCTGCAGCTTCTCAAGAATTTCTCAGCATTTTATGGAACATGAAGGATCACTACCCTGTTCACAAGAGCCTTCCACTAGTCCCTATCCTGAGCCAGATCAATCCAATCCATACCATCCCATCCTATCTCTCTAAGATCCATTTTGATATTGTCCAACAACCTATGCCTTGGTCTTCCCAGTGGTCTCCTTCCTTCTGGCCTTCCCACCAATATCCTATATGCATTCCTCAACTCTCCCATTTGTGCTACATGCCCTGCCCACCTCATCCTCCTTGACTTGATCATTCTAATTATACTTGGAGAAGAGTACAAGTTATGAAACTCCTCATTATGCAGTTTTCTCCAACCTCCTGTCACTTCATTTGTCTTCGGTCCAAATATTCTCAACACCCTGTTCTCAAACACCCTCAGTCCATGTTCCTCCCTTAATGTCAGAGACCAAGTTTCACAGCCATACAGAACCACAGGCAAAATTATAGTTTTGTATATTTTAATTTTTATGTTTTTGAACAACAGATGAGAAGACAAAAGGCTCTGAACTGAATGGTAGCAAGCATTACCCGAGTTCAATCGCCTCTTAATTTCCACCTGAATCATGTTTTGATTTGTTAACTTTGCTCCCAAATATATGAACTGTGCCACATTTTCAGAACATCTGTTTCCTATCTTTACGTCATGATTTTGCCCAGCATTTTGGTGACGAGCCAGCAACATATACTTAGTTTTCTCTGTGTTTACTTCTAGACAAACCTCCTTACTTGCGTCAATTGAAGTTTGTGTGTTTTTCTTTATGGTATTTATATTATCACACAGAAGATTCACATCACCGGCATAGAGCAACAGCTGATGTGTCCCGTTTAATTTCAGTCCCGCCTGGTTTCCCTGGACCTTCCTAATGACATATTCTAAAACAAATTTGAAGAGGAGTGGTGATAAAGCATCTCCTTGTTTTAGACCATTCTGAATAGGAAATTTGTAAGACAAATGTTTACCTACACGGACTTTACTACACGTTTTATTTAAACACATTTTAATCAACCTAACTAGTTTCATGGGTATCCCAAACTCTATTAGAATACTGATCAATACTTCCCTCCTAACTGAATCACAGGCATTTTTGAAGTCTATGAATAGTTACTTCGTACTCCCATTTTTTCTCCAATATCTGACAAATGCAAAAGATCTGATCTGTAGTTGATCTGTTACGTCGAAACCCACACTGATGATCCCCAATAATTTCATCTATATATGGACTTTGCCTTGAGAGAAAAATATTGGACAAAATTGTATATGAAGTTGATAGCAGTGATATCCCCTGATAATTACTACAGTTTTATCACCCTTCTTGTGAACTGGTACAATAATAGACTCCTTCCACTGATCAGGAAATTTTTCCTTATGCCAAATAGAAGTAATTAACTTATGGATCTTAGAATGTAATATCTCGCCTCCTCCTTGAACAAGTTCAGCTGGAATATGATGACTAGCTGGCAATTTATACCTTTTCAATTTTGCAATAGCACTTTCAACCTCAAAAGGGCTAGGATCAGGTATTAGTGGCTCAGCTGCATGGATTTCTGTCTGCCTAACAGCACTGACCCTATGTACATTCAATAACTGAGAGAAGTAGTTCTTCCTCCTATTCAAAATGTTGTGGGAATCTGGAAGCAGATCACCATTCTCGTCCTTCACTAAGTTACTGCTGGGCTGGTAACCCCTCTTAAAGTCATTTATTCCTCTATACAGGTCTCTATGTTCTTGTTCTTACTGTTCATTGCAAGCTCACCAATTTTGTCTTCCAGATATTCCCTTTTTTTTTGTTCCTGAAATGCCTGCTGGTTTCACGTCTTACATTGTTCAGATCATCCCCATTTAACTCGCTTGGATCCTGTAACCATTGCAATTTGGCCTGCTTTCTTTGATCTAATAATTTTGAGCATGTCCATGATTTATTCTGACCATCTTACAGTGCATACATTTATTCACATTACTCTTCTCTCTTGCACTACATGTTTCAGCACTAAAGTGCCATCTTCAGGTGCTTTTCGATGTATGTCGAACTACTTCATTGCATGCCCTGTTGTCTTTATACTAAAATAACTAAAATATATATTCCGTCATATATATTGATAAATTTTAAATATTAAAAATATTAAAACTGTTCACGATTTATCATCCTTATGTCATATCTCAATATGCGAGTCACACCTATCTTCTTCTATTGGAGTATTCTTCCTACTTTCATGTGTGTATTGTGCTTTGTGTTGTGTCTTGCTCCTGTGACTGCGTGTATTATAACATTACAACTCCATTATCATTACTAATTTCATGCAAACTGTCATTCCCAACTGTAGGTTTGAAAATGTCTTCCCTCCCTACAGCAACCTCAAATAATCTACAAACCCATGAGTGCTAAAAGTGAGAGGCCACTACTTTCACTTTCACTTTCACTTTTTTTATTTGTTCCATAGATCGTTATTGACAAACATGCCACAGGATGTAGAACATGTCAAA